AACCCTGCGAATCGTTATCAAACACTCTCAACACCCAGTAATACTGGAGATGAATGGATGTGTCGACTGGCCGATCATTACGCAAGCCCACGCACATCCCGTCCCTCGGTTTATACGTGTTTTGGAGCAAGATTGGCCTTTGGGACATCATTTCGAGATGGTACGGTTTTCCTTGCCCTTCGCATGACAGAGTGGCCTGCACTGCCTCAACGTGTTGTTTTCAGAACCTCAATAGTCTCGTGGAGGTCGACTCAGGCCCGCCCGCTCGTACTGAATCTATTGTGGATGGATCAATTTATTCGAGAAGTTGACACAAGGTACCAGCACTCATTTCTTAAACAGCGCCAAGCTGTTAGTCGTTCGCGAAAGTCTTGGGAGGTGCAGCCTTGTGCCTTGTGTGGTCTTGGCAGTCGATCAATGTAATAACTGTCCTTGGCATCTTGAGGCTTCTAGAACAGGACCATTTCTTGGAAGATCTAATCCGTAGTGAACCACTTGGTCTTGGTGCGGATTGATGGTTGTGGTGCCCAGCCGGCGCCGACCTGCAATTGAGCTCCTATATTGCCATGAAACTGGGCGTTGCCTAGACTCAAGATGTCTCAAATGACTCGTACGCCGGCTTGCCTTGTTCCTGGCGATGATCTAGTCTCGAGGCTCTTTTTTTTTGTTAAAAAAATTTGGTAGACGGAATGAAATATCCTACTTTCCTATAGGATAAGGCCGATGGTAAGACGAGATCCTCCAATCTTAGATATGTCATCGACGAGCCCATGCACATTTTGCGTCCTCCTAACTTCCCCAGCACCCATCATTGATCACTGAAATACCGAGGTAGGCCGAGGTACGAAGTATATATCGCCGACTCAGGGAGTCTTTTTTTAATCATTGTCGGCCAGGCCAGTTCGGGGGTGCGCGAACGGAAATTGGCCAGCTCTGCGAAGACAAGCTTTTCTGACTGGTGCGCGATAAGCGATGAAGATCGCCGCATTTACAGAATAGTGCATGCGCATCCATTGGTAAACGAATCTAATGGACGAAGTAGCTTTTTCCTCCATTGATCCTTCGTATCGCGAGACCAAGGGAGGAGACTGCTGAGCAGCTATACCCAGGATAGCAAGGGTTTTACATCGGATCAGTGTTCGCGATTAGGACGTTTTTTTGCGGCTATTTCTTTTGTGGTGTCTGCAGACGAGAACCCGAACCGGGCCCAAGCCACAATACTTGGCGTGCAAATCGGTTCTTCCGCGTTCAATCATGGATGTCTTTTGATATCTTCCGAGCCTTGGCCTCGCGTGGTTTTCAGCATGGGCAAACATCATAATTTCGAGGTCACGTGGGTACGACATCCTCTTGCCCATCGCACCTTCGCGATTTTTTGCGTGCACTGCACCACGCACTTTCACGGTTTCTCTCCTTTTGGATGTTGGTTCCTCGTATCAGCTTGACTTCGATAACGAAGGGACCAGTAGACAGCCACGGGTGACCGACAGTCTGACACTGGAATTTGACTCCCCCTTTGCAGATCGGTTTTTTCCTCTTTTTTTAAATTAGAGACAATCGGATGACCAGCCACTGCATAAAGGGACAAGTACCTCACTGAGTACACGGATCTCGAGTAGCAAGATGTACTTTCGCCATGTTCCAATGGTCGTCTTGTCCCGCAACACTTCTCTTTCCTTTTTTTCTTGAGCTCGTCTTGATCTTTGCATCTCAAAGGTGTTCCGAATGAGGCAACTTGGCATGCGGAAGATGATGACGGACATCTTAATGCCAAGAATTAATCCGCAAGTGCCAAGAGATATTCTTTATCCAAGGCGGACGGGAAGTGACTTGTCGGGATGTCAAGAGAGATGGGCTGCAAGACCCAGGCTGCCGAGCACACGAGACGAAGAGCATGGCTGATTGGCCGACCACTTTAGGGAAAGCGTGCAAGAAAATGCAGCTTCGTCCACTACTGTTTCGAAAGATGGATGGCTCGGCCAATAGGCTTCGGCTGCTGCCGAGCTACCAGATCTTCACTCTTCCGGGGGTTCGTGCACTGATTCCCCTATTTCTTGGCCTGGGGATCACCCCTGTCTGGCTAGCTGTCTGTCTGTCTTTCTTCAATGTTGTCTGTTCAGTTCGATGCTCCCTTTTCCTAGGCGAATGGAGCACAGGAGCGGGCGAATCATGGTGGTTTGAGAAGACGTTATTTTTCTCTTCAGCGAGGAGGAAATTGGGCCATCCCTGATCATCATCACAACACCCGATGCCCTGCAGCATGACATTGATACGATGCCTCATCCTTGGCAAGGCGACAGATTCACGGGCTGGGTTTGGGGTTACACCACGCTTCGATGCGTTTCATTCTCAAAAGTGTTTGTTTTATTTTTATTTTTATTTTTTTCTTTTCTGCTTCGTCCACTCGAGGTTTGTTGAGATGAAGATGGCAGAAAACTTAAAAAGTAGCAAAGGCCTCCCCACTCCCCCCCTTTTTTTCCCCTTTGGAATTGCTCAATCGGAGCTATGGCGGATGACATCGAGCTGCAACTCTCGGACGTAAATAGCATCTAATAACAATCAGAGCGGATACAACTTCAGATACTAACTGACGGGAACAGCGTGCAGAAGAATAGATACGAGGAGCGTTTTGACTCGTTCTCCCCGAACAAAGGCGTGACCTGCAATTAACTCAAATCAAGGATTTCGTTTCCCCTTTGGCGTTCGGATGCCGCAGGATGCCCACCCTCCCATCTTTCCAGCCGAATTCCACCCTTTCCACTCACGGACCCGAGTTCGTCCATTGGTTGTCACAAGTGTCGAACCCCCCCACTCGTAGATCGGCATGAAAGCAATGAAAACAATGAGAGGCATCCAAACCCAGCCCTGGCAGGAATTGAACCGAAGTGGTCCTTCGAAGTACAGATCGACAATAAGGGTCAACTGTTGGGCTGTGCTCGCGCTCGCTCAGGACAGACTCCACATCGTCAGACGAAGTTGCATTCCAACACCCAGGTAGTTGGAAGGTTAAAAGTTAAATCCTCTCGCTCTTAACGCCCACCCATGCTGGGGATCAAATCCTTTTCGAAGGACAGGACACTAATAGTACATCCCCCAATCCCTCAAGCCCGGCTTGTTGACTCGGGAGGAACCGCGAACAAGCAGCAGGACAAAAAGGCCCTCTACTTAAAGTAATGGAGGGAAATTTAACATTGCACACACAGCAGAATAGTGTATATTGGATATTTTGGTATTAAATCTAAACCGAGCCATGCAACGCTGCTAAGTTTCAATTTCCTGTTAGTGCACTCGGGGCATGGAAAACGTGGCAAGGTTAAAAACTAGTGTAGTGTAGTGTACTTCGTACACTATGCGTAAACTACTAGATTAATTAGTAGTGTAGAGCCTAGACACTCTTCTTGACTTTCGAGCACCTCGTCAGCACCTTGTCTGAGACTGGTGGGGAGAGAGTCGGAGAGACGATGTTGATGCCATTTTTAGCGCGCAGGAGGACAATTATTTCACTCTCTGACGCTGGCAACACTAGTTGATCTTTCTGGGAGTCTAGACGGCGATCATTTAGGATCAGGGGAGAAGGGGGAGAACTGAAGGTCCCACAATTCGAAAGTCAAAAAAAGCCAGCCAGTACGAAGTTGCTCACTCTCCCTACCTGCCTATACTCCCTACAAGTACATCGTTATGACTTTGCTTCGTACTTGTCGAGAAGTGAAGAGAGAGAAGACGGTAACGAAGTGATCTGCTGGTATAAAGGGTCTCAATGTCAACTGTGCTCTCCTCCCATATCACAGACGTCCTCGGGTGGCCAGGCGGGAACAACATGACAGGACGTGAAGCCCAGGATGATGCATGGCTGGCTTTGGATCAAATACGAGAAATACAACACCTGATATAACGCACTGGGCGTAAACGCCTGGTGTCGTGACAGTAGCGCCAGGTACAGACAGGCTTTTATTCTCCCGAGTCGGTTCCAATAGTGCTTTTCCAGCCCGGCCTAGTGCTGGAAGGGAAGGGGACCTAGGCACACTGCTTTCATCTGATTCTGATTCTGAGTAATCCCGACGTTGGACGTGCATACTGAGTATTACGGGGTACTTGATACTGGAAGCTGGTTTGCTCGACGCTCGATGGGAAGGAAACATGAGTGAATGCAGGCGTGGCGGAGGATGGAGGGTGGCAGAGTGGAGGCACTTTGACCCCTGCGCCGTCGATGGAACCGCCTTTGACCCGTTCAGGTCTCCCGTTCAAGTTGAGGGCTGATCCTGGATTCCAACATTTGACATTTCATTAATACATTGATCAACCCTCTCCATCCTATAATTTAGACTCGTATCGTCTGCCGGGAAGCCGTCAGTCAATACTTTCTCTCACGTTCCGCCGACAAACCTGTTTGCTCGCCTTTCACTTTCCGTGTTCGAGCTCGAGCTTCCGTCTTCCATCGCTCCCATTCTTGTTTTCTCCTGTTTCAACCAGGAGCAAGTCTAGTTGCGGGCAGCCGTTCGTTTTCCTCTTCTTCTTCTTCTTCTTCTTGTTTTTTTTATTTTACCGGATTACATGTTTAGTTCGACCGTTTCGATATTCTTCCCTCCATGATTTAATTCTTCTCTAACCTCGCCTTCCTTCGCTTTCGTCCCCATCGGAGAGCAATAGCAGGAGTCACTCGTTTTATTATTCTCTACTCTCCGACGGGACGTTCTCCCAACCCTCTCTCGGCCGAATCCCGCTCCCGTCTTCTCTTGTTCTTCTTCTTCATCCCGTCTTTATCGGCAATTCTTATTTTCTTCAGTAATGGCGGTTCGCTGGCTTAGAACGGGCTTGGCAGCCCGGATACCGCAGTTTCAGGGCTATGCTCCGCTCTCTCTTCCATCGTTGGACAACATTAATGAAAAGGTGCCCATACTCGAATCCTCGCCGTCTTCCTGGGCCAAGAGCATTCTTGTGTCTCTCTTGCCAAGTTTCGCACATCCCAGTTGGAGGTCTGAACGGAGACTTTCGAGTTCAGCATGGCTAGGTAGGTTTAGTTATCCCCCTTTGCGTTACCTTGCGGCGGTTGGTCGGAGTCGATCCATGGCGTTGTGCCGGATATCATGTCGGGCTCGCTCTGGACACGATACAATCCTTCAATGCGTCAATCCGTATACTCATCAGTCATGTGCCCCCGGATATAGACGGTCTTCGAGGCATCGCAGCCTTCGTTGTGGTCTGGCACCACAGCAGTCTTCTCTACTTTTCTTGGGCCATCCACCATCCCTGGAACGAGCACGAGACAAAGGTGTTCGTCCAGCTCCCCATCATTCGACTCTTCCTCGCAGGTTTACCCGCCGTGTGTATCTTTTTCGTCATCTCCGGCTACGCCATTAGTTTGAGATTGCTGAAGCTCTCGCATCTCGGACGGTCCACCGAATTCGCCCACTCCCTGGCCTCCTCGCTATTCCGACGCCACCCTCGCTTGTTCATGCCCGCGACGTTCGTGTTGCTCATGAGTGCCATCATGTCCTATCTGGGCCTCTTCCCCACCGAATCGTGGTCCAAGGCCGTTGCGCAGGGCACCCGAGTCCCTCCTCACCCCGACACTTTTTATGGGCAGCTCTCCGACTGGGCCAAACACAGCATGTCTTTGGCCTACCCCATCAGGAATACCATCAACAGCCGCGACATCAACCCCTACGACCCGAACTTGTGGACTCTTCCCGTCGAGTTTGGAACGTCGATGATGGTTTTCACCCTGCTCGCCGTCACGCATAGGTTCCGGCCCTTTGTGCGCATGGCCTTCAACTTTATCCTTGTCGCCTATTTCTTCTACCGAACCGAGACCAACGTCTTCCTCTTCCTCTGTGGCATGTCCCTGGCCGATATTCGCACCTACCTGACTCTCCGAAACGAGGCACGCTCGGAACTCCCGCGCCGCTCCGACGACATCGACGACGACGACAACGGGATCCGGCGGAAAAAGCCCAGACGCTACATCTTCGGTAATCGATGGGCCCAGTTCTACCACTCCTCGCTCACCCGACGCATCGCCGCCATTTTCGGTGTTCTCTTCTGCATGTACGCCCTCAGCATCCCCGAATTCGGAAAGACCCTGGGCGAAGACCCTTTCTTCAAACCCCTCCTCGGCCTCGTCCCTCACTTCTACCGAGCCACGCACTTTTGGATCCCTCTGGGCGCCGTCGGCCTCGTCGCCATCGTCGACTACAACTCGTTCCTGCAGGCCGTGTTCAACAGCCGCGTGGCGCAGTACCTCGGGAAGATCTCCTTCGCGCTGTATCTCATCCACGGACCGTTGATTTGGAGCTACGGCGCGTGGTTGGCTCCTCATTTCATCCCGACGGCGGAAGATGTGTCGACGGCTCGGTACGGTTTCGGCGTTGCTTTGTGCTATCTCTTGTGGTGGCCCGTGGCTATATACGAGGCCGATCTTGTCACGAGGCTTGTGGATGTGAAATCTGTGGCTTTCGCGAGGTGGGTGTATAATAAGCTTATTGTGAGCTCTTGAGAGAGAGTTTGTCCCGAAAGCTCAAAGATCGGATATATACGGCTTTTCATGTACTTTTTGGGGGTCGATGCTCTTCCCGGAATTTCTGGGGCACACGTTTGGAGTTTTGGGGGCAGGGTATTTTGGACATTTTCATTTTCTGATATAACATTTTCGAAAAACGTCTTCGGCTAGAGATTCGCGGGGCTATAATGTACGGGCTTTGGGATGCCAGGGTCTTTCTGTCGTTCGATTTCTTTCTTCATACTTGAAAAAAAAGCGAGCCTAGGTGTTGACCAGGCCACAGGAGAACACATGTACACTTTCACTTGGGCCATTTCTGCCCACGACAATGAGCGAGGGAGGTTTAGACATCAATCTACTGTTTAGACAAATTTTATGGTAAATTCGGCGGAAGAGGTTGAAATTGAAACGAGGAGAAAACGTTCGGAGAAGGTATTTAGTGAAACAAAAACTCAAATCAATCCCTGAAAATAAATAATAGATTTCCTTGAGAAAAATGGCCCATATTTTCCGTACCCGGAGACTCACCGGCGCTTCACACCGGCGCTCCTCCCTAGTTCCGCAACGGAGTAAGTAATGCGGTACAGTCGGACGAAGTCCAACGTGACCGGGCCCAGACATGAAAATGGCAAAAGTCGGCTTCACGGCACGATGCCAAGCGTTGCACAAGGCCCCGGGCCTTGGCGACGCAAAAGGGGGGGCCCGGGCTCCCGGGGCCGGATATCCCGGCACTCCCTTTCGGGCGCCGCATTCCATCGGAAGGGAGGATGCGGCAAGGAAGGGGGGAATAGGGACCGGAACGTATTCAAAGAGGGGGGGTCTATGGCCTATCGCCTCGGAATGAGAAGCACAGTTTCCTTGGAATTCATTTCCGAGCCTGGGTTCCGAGTTGGGGGACAAAGCCGGAGCCGCGTGAGGTCGTGAGGGGTCAAAATCGTACCACGATGAGCCGAACCAACAAGCATCACGGGACATCACGGACTCGTAGATCGCGATGAACCCTTTGAGATCTGGAAAACTCCTGGAAGAACCCTGGTCTAAGAGCCTTGGTCACACGCCCTCCCCCCCTCTCCCCCCTTTCATTCCAACGCTACCGTCGTCTTTCCCGGACCCAGACTTCATCTTCTCAGCTGGACGGGTACCATTGAAGGAGGGGGGGAGGGTAACGGGACTCCTCCGTCTCAGCGCGTCCGTAGTGACTACTCCCTACATCGTACTTTTATAGGTCATCCGACTCCTGCATCTAGCGCGTAAGTATCCATCCACACAGGGCAAACGCGTTTACGAAGAAACCCCAGAAAGGAACAATAAGAAGAATAAGAACGAAGAAAGCAAGAAAAAAAAAAAAAATAGAAAAGTAACCCCATCCCTCTGTCCCCTTGCCCCAGAGCGCCCCAGAGCGCCCCAGAGCGGGGGGTGTAAGAAGAAAACGGGGACAAGACCCAGACATTAACCAACCTTAAAAAAGCTCACGGAACCCCGCAATCGTAAGACGTTCTTCACCTCTCGCCATTCTTCGCCGTTGTCTTCTTCAGTGCCTCGTCGGAAGCGACCGAACTTAGGGGTCTCGTGTGACGTTTTGTTTTCTGGTTGTTTCCCCGTGAGCAGCGAACATGCTTGTTTTGGTAATGCAATTTGTACGGAGTACGCATACTGAGTATTATTGTTCTTTTTTAATATTTTTTTTTCTATCACATCTCGGAATCAATTAATGCAAAAGCATCAATTGCACTTTTTGACAATCCCCACATCTGCCCAAAAATAACACAATTCCTAAAACAAGTCAACTTCTTCAGAAGAGACGCTTGAGAAGAAGCGAAGAAAAGAACACAACCGGACCCGCAAATCGAACCATTCTCCTCGCGAAAACGCCTGAAGAATGAAGAACATCACGTCTTCCGAATCTCTTCCTGGTAGTCTAGTCCTCTCCCCCACCACCATTCTCCAAAGATTATAGCCTTCTTTTTCTTTTTCCCTGCTTCCCCGGGGGGTAAAAGCCCCATGGTATGACGCCTTTTCTCTCCCGCGGGGATTGCCGTATGGGGACCGCGAGCGGTGTGTGTGAGAGAGACTTGAACCCCGTGCATCTGACGATGCAGCTCTTCTCTGGGGAAGTATGAAAATCGTTTCCTCAACGGTTTTTTGCGGGATAAGCCCATGGTACATGAACTTCTCCACTATAATGCCCCCGACGGAGGGCGGGATCGCTCGATCGAGGATTGTAGTGTAGATTTTTTTTTTTTTCTTTTTTTTTTTTTTTTTTTTTTTTTTTTTTTTTAACTCTCCTTCCTTTCACCGACTGCTACACTACTTCTTACAAGGGGAAGAAAGCTCTCTTCTCTATCCCCACGCCTCTCCTTACCGAGAGTTGAAGCCGTGAACTCCAACGAAACTACAGATTCGAGGATGGTTAGCATCCAGCTTTCTTCTTCACCTTCACTCCCAAACAAGGCTCGTTATAAATTATCAGTTCTGTTTGCAGTATACCGTACCTACTGCCCACACACCCCTCCCCTCAACTGTCCCGTTCTCTTCCATCAAGTTCCTCTTGCCGCTGCCTACACGCCCACAATGTTGACTCTCAGCAGTGCCGTAAGAAAGCTGCCACGCCCTTTTCCTCCGTGACGCAACGCGCAACATACCCTCCCCTCCTAAAGTGCCTACATACAGTAGTGCAATGTACAAGGAGGCTTCTTTCTATCACAGGACGAACCGTACCCACATAGCCTGTCCAACGTTCACTAAACATTTTTTTTCCTTTTCTGCTTGTCAACTTCTCGCGGATGAAATGCGTTGGACAAGGCAAAAAAAGCAGGCGATACATAACAATCGCATGTTATGCCCACCAAGTTGTGCTCTGTTATCCTCAATTCGTTCCCCCACCTTCCCCACTTCCCCCGCCACCTAACCCCGTCTCTTATCATTTTGCCCCTTGGGGTTCGGTGACCTCGCTATAGGCTCCGAGTTTCATCAATCTCCGAGAATATTTCGGAGAAGGGTGTCTGGAGAGGTGGGGGCGGGGGGACCAAGGGAGGTTCAGTAGGAAGGTAGTGTAGTTAGAACATCGACCGGGAACAAGTAACGGGCAACAAGCTATTGCCCTACGTCTCGAGAGAGAGAGAGGGTAGCGCGAACCTCTTTTGCACTGCAGTAAACCAACCCATGAGCCCCATTTCGCTAGAGTTCGTCACACCCCCCCTCATTCTCAGCGCCTCTCTGACAGCCATCGTGTAAGCACGAAGTACATATAACGTCGACGGGGAGTAAAAGGGGGAAAAAAAAATCTCCTCACAGCCCACCGCTGCCAAGCAAATAGACAGAGTGAATGTATCAAAATGGAGACAGTACGGCAGGGATCGTGACCCTTACTCCGTACCTACAACCAGGTTGGGAGAGGGCTCAGACTTCAATGTGAGGGGAAAAAAAAGATAACAAATGCCAGCACACATTGCGGCGGACATGCCAAGCATCACAGAAGGCGTCATCAAGTGCGGTTCCGGTATCGGAGACGAATCAAGCACGGCTCCCCTCGGCTCATGCCTCATTTGGGAATAAGAGTTGAGAATGAAAAGGTGATAATATAAAAATTGTTTGGAACAGAATATGAGATGCGATGCCAATACTTGGTAGGTGATAAGAAAGTACGGGTCTTGGCAATCGAGTCGTGCGACTCCTGCAAGTTGGCATCAATGCCGCCTGACCGTCACTGCCGAGTGTCTTCGGCAGTAGCGCCCAGCCGATCGGGACTCTGATCGGCCTCTTCGTCGGCATCGTCTTCGGTGTCCTCTCCATCAAGGCTCCGCTGCGTGCCGATGATGAGGTCCTCGCTCCCCTGCCATTGTGGCGGTTCGGGAGGCAGATGCGCATCGTCGTCCGAGTCCCATCCATAGTCCTCGTCACTGTCAGGAACCTCTAGCCTCGTAACCCCGAGCTTGCGCTTCATCTGAGGTTTGGCATCGCCGAGACGGAGTATCCGCTTCTGATCTGCTTCATCGTAGTCGATCTCGGTGAGCCCAGACTATACACGCCATTAGCTCATTTGCTAAAGAATGAGGAATTGATCTTGGCAGTCACTAGGAACTCGTGACTAACTGACAGGGTGGGGGGGCGTCATCATGGTCACACACATACCGATTCGATTCTGAATGCAGCCACCCTCCGAACTGGATTAGGGAGGTTCTTCCCAGCGAGCCTCTGAATCCCTACGAAGCAGGTGTTTGTGGGGGCCCCATCCTTCCACATCCAGTCTCTGAATAGGACCAACCTGGTCGGGATCCCTTGATCCCATACGCTGGCCCCGATGCTGGGCACCAATGCCGCGCCACGATTATGGGACTGCAACTTGGTCGCGCATTGAGAGAGCAGAACCACCGCGCAATTTCGCGTAGCAGCAAGCTTCTGAAGTGCACCAATGACGTACTGTAATGTTTGCAGTCGCCTTGGGGAGAGCCCGGATCCTACGTCCTTAATGTCAGACCAATGAAACCAAACCCACCACGGCATATCCTAGTTCCCGTCTTAATTCCGGGGACTCCAAGTGCTCATGAGAAGGTGAGGATTGCAATTGATGCAGGGGACAAAGAAGGTAGGAGAGACTGCATGGGATAAGCCGCATACCTTTGCCAGACTTGAAGCCCTTGCGACCATCCGGTGCCTTGGGGAATGTCTCGTTTAGAAGTGCAGAAAGTGAATCCACAACAACCACGGCAGTGTTTGCTGGCAAGCTCTTCGTCACGGGTCTACAGAGGAGAGCGATGAAGTGCGCCAGGCTTGCGCATGTGTAGTGCACGAACGGCCAGTCATCGCCATTGTTCTGTCCAAGACGCTCATCGGAGATGCCCCTGCCTGAATTCTTGTTGCCCGACCGTTCCCTCGAGTGCACGGCTTCGGCGACGTCTGTAAAACGTCGCCCACACAAGGGAACTGCACAATCTGTAACAAGAGAATGTTAAAAAAAAAAAAAAAAAAAAAAAAAAAAAGGAGAGAGAGAGAAAAAGAAATGTTAACTAAAAAAATACTTAAAATATCAGGAACCAGGGCAATACATCCTCTCGCTTAGGTGGTGCAGAGCCTTCTAACCCCTCGCGGAAACAAAATATTGGAAGAGATGGAACCATCTTAGACGAAGGGGAAGGATGCAGATCCACTGACCTACCCACACTACGCCGCGTCCATCAGACAGGGCGGAAGATGCAATCTGAATCCTGTAGAGACAAAAATAAATTTCAATCCAAAGACAAAAAGGAAGAAGAAGGGACGATGATACAGAAGCGAAGGCAAAGTATAGGGGTAATGGGGAGAAAGAATAAACCGTCTCGACAGAGAGCAGGGATGCAACATGCAAAAGAACCGGAAGCGAGATCCCCAGAATAAGAGACAAAAGAAAAAAAAGTAAAACATGAGACTCGGCTACTCACCCCATAGCGGTCTTCCCCACACCGGGAGGGCCCCAAATCTCGGTAACTTGGCCCCGATGTACACCGGACGGGGCTGCAGGGTGGACATTATCGTCACCGGTTCGCAGTCGTCGGAGACTTTCTGGCGTGGCTGACAGCGCTCGGTCGAGCTTGCAGAGCCCTGTTGACACGCATTGTGAGGGATCGTCGTTCAGATCCTCGAGCGCTTGTGCGGCCGACACGGCTGGTAGGCGATCTGCATGGCACAACGGCGAACACACATCAGCAAAATGGTTCTAAGTCCCTTCCTCCCAAAGCGTTGGCGTTTAAGCGTTAAGCGTGGGGTGGGGTGGGTGGTTCAGGAGGGCTCATGCGAACGGGTGTCTTGGATGTCAAACGTCGACACATCGTGTCCATGTACCGAGTGGTATAAGTCCATGTTCTTGAACAAGTTTGCCCTCCCGAATCGAGCCGTCTTTCCGAGCCGCGGAAAGGCATGTTTTGATTTTGGGAGCAGGAAGTGCACGAGCGGCAGCAACACTCTGCAGGAGATTCCCCAGACGAGACGTTCCAGTTTGTATAATCACGTGACTTGTTACATCCGGTTCGTTCCAACGGAAGTCGCGATGCATCTTCTCGCACCGCTGTTAGATCTACACACACTTGGAGGGGACCCCGAACGTTTCGTCAGTTCCATTCCGCCCAGTACCAGATTTCCTTTTTTTTTTTTTTTTTTTTTTTTTTTTTTTTCTTTGAATTGAAGAATCCGGGATAGAAAGCCGATTGGATGTTTTCTCCCTCTTTCCCCGATGACGTCTGAAGGATCGTGCGTGCATTGACCCTGCAGTTGAGATGGAGCATGCTCCTCTACAACAGTTGTCCTACATCCATCATCAGGAGAGACTTGCAGCTCATCCGAACACAAAACAATTTGGACTCCGGCTGCAGAAAAACCGGCTCTTCCATCCTGAATATCGAAAGATAGCGCGATAATTGTCTCTCTCTCCCTGAATATTCTGCATAACCGGGAATCCCTCTATCACTCTAACCCTGAAGACACTCCATGTTGGATTGGCTGTGCACCTGCAGCCGGGTGTTACGTCTCGTATTCACGGACCCAGGATATTGGCATCGAGAGCGGTAAGGAGCTAATCAAACTCGGCCTGCACAAGTCGTTCTAGAAGCTATGAGAAAGCGGCGGGGCCTGCAGCTCTCCGTGTCTTGGCCTGCTTGTAGTCAAGAAGGTGTAAATCAGGCATGGTTACAATGAGATAGTATAGATCGCAGCCGTCTTGAGGGGGCTGCCCTACTTCGGTAGATGGCATGAATGATACGAGCTAGTATTATTTCTCTCCCGTTCGCCCTCGTAACCGGATAGTTGGAATCAGCTGTGATCGAAAAGAGAAAAAAAAAAAAAAAAAAAAAAAAAAAAAAAGAGAGATGCAGTGTGCCGGTGGCTGCCATAAATATTGAAATAATTTGTGATTCTTGTACCACAATCTGTGGTTAATTGCACGTATGTTGATGCTGCCTAACGATACGATCCGCCATTGTCCATAGCAATACGAAGTGGCCGAGGGATAGGTGCATATCGATCTGTATCTCTCATGCTTAATGTGGCTTGTTTGCGTCTCCAGAGTGCAACGGAGCCAGTCACTCGTGGTTTCACTTCGATCTCATTTCAATCTTGGTCTGCAAGAAGCCGCCGGGTGCAGGTCTCCCTGGTCTGGAGCAAAGCAAACCGAATGCGGAGGCGGTATCAAGAGGGAGAGGAGGTATCATAGATCCGGTCCAAGTTGCGGCCAATCTAAACAGCCAACCAAGCCCGTCGCACGAGGCATCCGGCGTTCCTGGAGCCTGGGTCTGTATTACCCTGCCAGACTTGTAGAACCTCCATGTGCGGTGTTCCGCCTCTCTGAGGTAGTGTGGATGATTAGCCGAGCGCCCCTACGAAGTACATCAAGCCACCCGAAATCCAAGACGACAAGAAATACTTTGTACTAACGTGCCCGTACTCAAGCTTTTGGCTGGATGTTCTCCAACGAGATTTGGGCTGGCGGGTTATGACGGCGTTGGCTGAGCTCCACTTCTCCACCCTGGCTACTCTTGCTTCATGCATATCGTTTCCCTACCTCGAAAAAAACCTCGTACAAAGTAGGTATTTTGCACAGCGCCTGCTGCCCCTGGATGAGAAGATAGGACATAGATGGTGTGTATACATAGATGCAAATGCCTTTCCAACATGGCGGGCTGAAGTTTCGCAAAGTCGTGCTCTTAGAAAATAGAGCTGACTGAGAGTAAAACAGCTCGTATTCTGCGACGCCTTGAGTAACCGCCGGGCCCACGAAGTAAGTACGTACAAAGTATTTCGGAGATGAATGAGTTTTCCCCTCAGGCCGACGAGGTTGCGGCTCAAAAAAGGCGGGTCAACACCTCCCCTGTCAAGTTTACATGAAGCATATCAGGCACCCGTTGAAGAGCAGGCTTGCACCATCATGACACGCCATTCCCCTCTTAGACAAAGTACCGAGTAAAATACCTGCATTGGAACGTCTTCGATGAGTGGCGGCTAGACCTGGTACTTTCTTCTCTCTGCTGGGGGCTCCTTTTCTCTTATTCTTTTTCTTTTCCTTCTCCTCCTTCTTTTTTTTTCTTTTTCTTTTTTTTTCTTTTTTTTTTCTCCCACGCTCTTTTCCAATTCCTTACCCACTTCCGCCGCAAGAGCCAGCCATGCAAGAGCTGATCCACTTAAAGGATGATCGTGGGGGTGTGTGCTCCGCTCCATTGGATCAGGGCCCGTCGGAACCCGGAATCGTCAAAGCCCAGGCTGCAAGGTCCGAAATTGCGTCAGCGAGCGACTTACATGATGTAGCCCACATATTGACGTGGGCTCTCAAGGTGCTTCGTTCTCCCTCAGGTACTATCCGTTATACTTTGGCTAGCGAGAAACATTTGAAGTAGGCTAGAAGGAAAAGAAGGAAAATATTTTTTCCTTTGCCTCTTCTCCCGCTCCACCCAGAACCTAGAGCAAGGCCCACTTGAGCCTTTAGTCTTCCTCTGCTCTCCTCCCTCTGGACCGCGGGAGACCGCGGGAAAGAATGTGTCCGGCGGAGAGGACAAAAAGAAAAGAAAAGGACGAGCAAAAGAAAAAGGGCAAAATTAAATAAATAAATTACTCGAAAATAATAACAAAAATGACAAGATAGAGAAAACCATTAAGTCTAGTGGTATTCAGCTGTGAATGACGATTTACATCGAGTCGTGTGCTTCATTGCTCAGTGGTCATTGGATCTTGGACTTGCTGCATTTCTACGAATTTTCCCGGAACTTCCACGCCCACACACATCACATCGGCTCCCTCTAAATTGCCGGTCGGAGAAGAGGACGAGTTTTTCCTATCAGCGGTCGTGAGTGAGTGCGCTACTGTGCTTTCGCCTTCTTCAGTCGTAGTGCGGTCGTGATAGTAGAGGGGTGTCTCTAAAGTCCATTTTAGTTCCAAAATGTCACGGTGAGCAGGCCCTAGTATTAAACTTCTCTGAGCAGGTCGTATTCGTAGGGCTACAGCGGCGTGTACTTCGTACATGGAGAAGTATGGACCTGCTATCTATGGGTGGTTGATCTTTTGGAGATTATCTCGGAAGAATTCTCGTTGTATCTTGAAAGAGAATCCCTTTTTAGCCCCAATTCGCGGTGGATCCCGATTTTTTTTTTTTTTTTTTCTATTTTTCTTTGGGATAAGGTGGTTTTTTTCTCCAATTCTTCTCTGGCATGTGAATCTGGCGGTCACCCCAGATTTGATCTTGGAGACCAAGACCGGGAAACTTGTACTTGAATACGTACTCATCTTGAGTCAGCAATTCTCCTCCGAAAATGTTGGGCATACGAACAACTGAAGTTATTGGATATTCAGTTTTTTTTTTTTTTTTTCTTTTTAGTGGGCTAGAGTCAGCATTACATTTACTTGCAACATATCATACAACATTGGATCATACGAGAAGCAATGGATCCCGCAATTCTCACTCCAACAGCCAGTAGTAAACAGTAAACCCGTTGCCAGCTTCAACTCTCGGCCAAGATTCGACTCGGGGTCACTCGGCTCCACTCCCCACCGCATGAGCCTTTGTAGTTTAAGACAAGGACAGGCAGCTTGGCTGGGCCAGGCCAAGGCAGTCGTGGCGCTTCTATTCGCGCAGGACCTTCCCCATTCCCCATGGGTAGAGGGCGTAAACGGGGCCCGATATCAGACAATGGGGGCCGACACGGCGGGGGAATTATGAATTTGAACGGAGTTGCCGTGACCGTAGCCGTGCCCCATTGCCTTCCCGATTCGAAAGAGGCTCTTACGAAGTAATGTCCCGTGGTGTAATAAAGCCCTTCCTTGTGCTCGAACCCCGGCCTGCCTTTAGTCATGGTTGTGGGGAGTGGTACGAAATATGGTGGACAAGAATAGTTAGTATAGCAGCTTGGGGACTTGTCCATCCAACCCGGCTTTGAGTCTTGCCCTCGTGTCTCTCCTTGGTCAGGCTATGTCAATGGGGTCCCCCAAAGATATGGGGGAATGAGATAACGCCATGGGGTATGGGGGTTCGTGTGTCATTCACTATGGGGTGCATAGCCGTAAAAGGCGAAGTGGCGAAAGCACCGCCTTAAAAAATAAAGCGATATTCAGAAATGGCGAGGATGGCGCAACTTCTTGCTCACGCCGGATTCTCCCGAGGTATTTCGGATTAGGACTGTGCCTTGGGCCGGGTCACCGCAACTTCTTTATCGACCGTTTCCGAAATGCGGAGCGGTTGAGTATTGGTGTAGTTTACGAGGAGAGCTGGTCGCAAGGCGAAAAACTAACTTAGCTGATCATTTCCAAACTGACAATGATGTCTTTTCGTACGATTTGTTTCTAAATCCTGGGGTAGAAATTGTCGAATGTTCCCATGGCCGCTGTCTGTATTACGCGATCTTGCCAAGGATTCGAAGTGTTTCTTTCTTTATCTTTTTCATTTTTCAATTTTTATTATTATTATCTTTTTTTTTCTGGAGCTACAGAATTTATTGTGCTACTGAGGGTTGACATAAATCGTCTATAGTAATAATGATTGCCGAAGAGGACAGAGTTTGGAAACCTGTGACGGCAGTTGATGGTTCGCTGCCAGCGATCTGGCTGGCGGCATGAAGTAATGAACCTGCAATCTTGTAACGGTAGTGTTAACCGGCAATGTTTCGAAACTGGTCCCCTTTGGAGGTAACCGGGGCGGTAAATCAGCCGGTTGAACTCCCAGTGCCCTCTTTGCTAACCGTTCCCTCCACACTGCCGCCTCACCTCAGAAGCCGTGGCCGACTTTAGTGCTGAAAAGTTCTAGATCAAAATTACTGAGTCACCAAATATCCGGTGCTTTGTACCAGACTCTTTTCTTTGACCACACAACTCTACACTACACTAAAAGCGTAGAGTGGAGGCAGCAGCCCACCACCGAAACTCACAGGAGCAAAGGGAAGCTTGACGCCTTACCATGTGGATGATGGCACAGGGCATAGCCCCAAAACTCCAGGGTCCCCACCTTTTCCACGACGAAGTCGATCCTCGGAATGATGCAAAAAGTGAAGCCAAGGCCCTCCGCATTAACGGACGCTAGTAATGGTTTGTCCCGATATCCCGCTCACCGAGGGAACTGCCTCGGAGATACGAACCTTTCCTCGGATCAATGGCTGCCTGCACTGAGGTTCAGCATCTTCCCTACCACGGCTCCACTAAGTTTCGGTGAGGCGTGTCGGTGTTTTGCGTGGGCGGCAAAGGTGACGAATCCGGCAAGTGGTTCTTGAGATCCGCAAACCTTGACCTACCTTGTGCTTCGGAACCGCAAATGGTGGCGGTGGACATTGGGACATGCCGACAATCCTCCTTGAGCTGCAGTCAATCCTACTTGGACGTAACCAGGTTAGACTCTTTTCGGGGCGCCTAGCAAGTGTTCACCCAAGGGTTGACGATGTTCGCGCTGGGGTGTCGACCTGGTGTTGACTATCAATCGGTGTTTTAGTGCACTGCGTCGTCGATCCCTTCACACCGAAGA